AGTTGGAGTGACCTGCAATAACACCACCAGGCCTGCCCCCTACCCTGGTTTGCCAGTATGTGTAGCAGTAATCCAGTCTGTCCCACACACCATTCCACCCCAGCCCCTGTCCTAGTTTTAAGCCCTCCCGTGGAAGTGGTACCCAAGAGGGATGAGCCCACTATTTCCCTCCCAGGCCTCTCCCATTCCTGGATTATGCACTTTCCAGGTAGTTCTGTGGTTTGACTTGACAGAACTAGCCCCCAGTGCCAGCTTCTGCCAGCTGATGCTGTGGCTAAGCCCAAACAACCCTCACCCACTCTAATTTTGTTTGCACCAGTAGGAGTAATCAGCCCAGCCTGGCTTTTCCCTGATCTAGTCCACATGAGGCATACAGGTGTTGTAGCCCTGCCTAGTCTGGTCTGCCCCCATCCCAGCCCATGCTCTCCAGTGAGAGTAGCTGTCCAGCAAGGGAGCCACTCGTTATTCCCCTGCCAGCTCCGCCCCCTCCCTTCCTTGCTCTCATGCGTGCTGGTTAGGTGCTGCAGTCACATCTGGTACAGGCAACCTCACATTGGCATTCCGTATTGTGCACTAGTCTTTGTTGCGACCGAACCTGGCTTGACCCATACTCTGTTCTGGTGCTTGGATTTGCCAGTAGATGACGTGGACAGATTCAGCCTGGTCTTCCCTGACACATGCCAGATATATGCCAGGGGGTAACTTTCCATGGCCTGTTCTGGGTTGTTTCCTATCATGTTTCTTGCGCTTAAGTGCTGGGTCTGTGTCCTGCCAGAGGAGTTGCCCAGGCTCCTCCATCAGAACCTCTCCCAATGCCAGGTTTCACGCTTACCAGTGGGTCCATGAGCCCTACTCAATTCTCCTCCTGTCATAGCAGGATCAGTGGCTTTTCCTGACTGGCCTTCAACCCAATCTGGTTCTTGCTGTTGGATGTTTCAGCCCAGCCACGGCTCTTCCATATCCACATATGGCTCACACGTGCCTCAGTAGGGGTTTGAGACCTTGCTTAGTCCATCCCACATCTGTCCTGGTACTTCAGGACACCAGAGGGTATTGGGGTCTGGCCCTGTTTGGTGCATCCAGTCCCAGTCCACACTTGTGCCAAGGGAGACTACAACCATTTCCAGAATGCAGCCCCCATTCCAGCGCAGGCGCCCCTATGTGGGAACCTCAACCCAGCTAAGGTTGTCCCGTTAGCTCCCCAACCATGCCTGTTCCCAGCCATAGATCACTTGCATTCCAGTGGTTGCTCTGACTCAGCTTGGCAGAACCCCTCACTTGTCCTCGCCCCTGCCTTAGACACTGTGGCTTAGTGTTCCTGGCTCACGCAGACCAGAGGGACAAGAGCCTAGCTCGACCTGGTCTCTAGTTTTACTTGTGGGCTAAGGTTTGCTCAGTGCTGCCTGATCTACCCTGTTACATTACCAATTGACACATTAGCCAGTTGTTGGAGCTACTTTGTCCAGCTTGTCTGACCCCCAGGTCTGGACCACATGTTCACCAGTGGGAGCTATGACTTGCCAGGGGAGTTTCCCAAGTTGCTTCCCTTAATCCACTCCCAGATCTAGTTCTCATACATGTCATTGGGTTTAGGCCAGTACCCGGCGCAGTCTGGCCTTCCATTTTGCCTTGTATAGCTGGTGAGCGTTGCAGCCTGGCCCAGCCCACACCCTAATCAGGATGCACATTTGGGTGCTGCTGCCCTGACCAGTCCAGACCGTTGGGGGTTCCTTTGCCTGTGATTGATCACACCTAGCTTAGTCCATCACCACCCCAACTCTTGAGATAAGCAGTGGGGCTAGAATTTTCACAGGATGTGGCCCACACATCCCTCACAGAATTTACCCCCAGTTATAGTTCTTGAGTGCTAGTTAATGTACTGGCTTGCTTAATGTGACCCTTCTCCTGATGCATCATCATGTCAGGTAACATGATATAATTCTGCAGGAGAAGCCCCGAGCCATTTCTTTTGCATGGACTGGTTTTTGGTGGTGAGCATTGTTCAGTGATTACAAGTTTTACAAAGGAAGAGTTACTGCCAATGGGAATCTTTACGAATACTTCATGTCCTAGAAGCACAATGGGTTCAACCTGGAGCTAACTAAGCAGTGACTCAAAGAACCAAGACCCCAGAGCTCCCCGGCTGTGCAGCCAGCAGGCAGAGCCTGGCACCAAATGGCGCACTGGCCGCCCAGGGACAGCTCACCACGTGCACATGGTGGTTGTTGTTTGGGATCCAGGCATGAGATGCCCCGTCCTGAGATCCACCAGCAGCAGGGAGGCTGCTGGAAGTTTAAACTCCCAGGCCCAAGGTCGCGCCCCTCCCCAATCCCATTAGCTGCCCAATGAAGGCAGTGGGTGGGTCCCTGACCTGCCCAGTCACAGAGACCTCCCCCCTTGGTGTACTCACCCAGAAGGGAGCAGCCCCCCAGAGCCCAGGCAGGCCCGGGGGCAGCTCACCATGTGCACATGCTGGCTATCATCTAGCCACCCATTCTGGAGACTAGAATTTACTTTCCAGCTTCCTCTGTTGCAAAAATTTGGGGAGTGAACCAGTGGATAGAATTGTTTTCTGTCTCTGTCATTCTATTCCTGTCTTTCAAATAAATACACTTAAAAGAATTCACAAAAATTAAAGTTAAAAATATTTCATCTTATCTGAACAATCTAAGTAATTCCTTGTATTAAGAATCTTACCTAGGGGCTAGTGTGGTGCCATGCAGACTAATTATCTGTATGTAGCATTGGCATCCACTATGGGTGCCGGTTTGTGCCTGGCTGCTCCACATCTAATCCTACTTGTGGCCTGGAAAAGCAGCAGAAGATGACTCAAGCCTTTGTGCCCCTGCACCTGTATGGAAGACCTCGAAGAAGTTCCTGGCTTCTCACTGGCCCAACTTGCAGCTGTTTGGGAAGTGAACCAACAGTTGGGAAACCTCTCTTTCCTGATCTTTTCTCTCTCTCCCTCTCTCTTTTTCTGTAAAATCTGCCTTTCAAATGAAAAGAAATAAATGTTTAAAAAATTTTATCTAAAGGCTTAGAAGAGATGAAACTCATTTTATCCAAGAAGGTTCTTGATTTTCTTTTTCATTTCTTCAGTGACACATTAGTCATTCAATAGCATGTTATTTAATTTCATGGTGTTGTTAATTTCTTTTTTTTTTTCTTCCTGTTGATTTTGTTTTGTGGCGTTTCATTTAAGGGGATGTATAATAACTGTGTAATGGAGACTATCACATCTAGCAGCATGTTATTTAACTTTATGGCACTGTAAATTTCTTTTTTTTTCTTGTTGTTGATTTTGTTTTGTGGCTTTTCATTTAAGGGGATGTATAGCAGCTGTGTTATGTAGACTATCATATGCAGATATGAGAATACAATGCAGTATGCATCTCTACTTCCAGACAAAGATGTACTCCCAATGATACTGTTAAGTATATCTTGACAATAGAATGCTGGACTCTCTGCCATTGTCCATGCCCACAATGACGGACATATGATTGTGTATAAAGAATTACACTATAGTAATGATATAGGGGAAATAAGTGAGGCAGGGGGGAGTTGGGGAAGAGATAAGGGAAATCCTAAGGCCTATAGAACTGTATCATAAAATGATAATAATAAAAAGTACAATTACAAAAATAAAAACTAAGAAAGAATGAAGGCTTAGACTTGAAGTTCAACAAGAATATAATTAGATGAATAAAATTATATAAAAAACTATAGCTATAAAAATAACACAATTATTTCTTTAATGTCTTTCACATTTTGCTTTTATTTTTGATGAAATGTCCTAAATATAAAACTAAAACTTATGTCCTACCTGTGTATCTGAAAGTAAGTGTAAGAGAAAAAGGACTGGAATGATCCAGAATGTGATTTTTAAGGGCAAAATGATGCCCGTTTCTCAGTGGGGTTGTGATATGCTCTCTGTGGGAACTATTGCTCCTGGTTTTTCAATTACAACTTTGAATCATATTCCTTGATTAGTAACAAGCAATCAATCATAATTAATTAGTTGAAATGTTCAACCGTTAAAATCATTACCATTAATTAAAATAATTATCTCTATTTTGGCTGCACTTCATTAACATTTCAGGGAAATGCATTCCCTTCCTGTACCACCATCCTTGTAACAGATCTCAGGGTACCCAAGGCACGCTGTGGTTCATCTATGTGCTGCTCTAAACATGCCACTTCAGTGAGGTTTGGGATATTCTGGCTGTTTTTATTGCACCTGGGAATGGTATGTTAGAACAGTACCTTAGATTTTATAAATAGAAGCTCTTTGGAATCAATGCTGGCCATTCACAGGATGCTGGGAAGGGAAGAGTTTTGAAGGAACTTGGAAAAAAATTTTTTTTAAGTTAAAGAATTTAAAATTTATTTTTATTTCATCAAAAGGCAGAAAGAAATAGAGACAGAGATGAGAGTGAGAGGATGAGAGAGAGAGAGAGAGAGAGAGAGAGAGAGAGAGAATACCATTGTATTCACTGTTCAAATGCCCATAACAGCTGGGTCTGGGCCAGGCTGAAACCAGAAGGAAGATCAGAACTCATTTTCAGTCTCCCATGTGGGTGGCAAGACCCAAATACTTGAGACATCACCTGCTGCTTCCCAGGGTGCTCAGCACCAGAATGGCGGACTTGGAAGCAGGGCTGGAATCAGATATAGGTGTCTTACTGCTATGCCAGATGCCCACGCATGTGTCTTGAGAAAACAGGCTTCAGAAGATTTGGGGCAGTGCAGGAGAGTTAGAGGAAGCTGTGAAGTGCAATGCTGTTTTTGTTTGTTCATTTGGACTGGGGGTGGGATTAGGATTTTTTGGTATATAACATTTCTTTGAGAGTGTTGTTCCTTAAAAAAAAAAAAAACAAACTGTTGGGCTTTACTTCATAGTCATTCCTATGGCATAGGTTTGTCAGTAAAGTTGATATTGAGATTAAACTCTATGTGACCTTAATCGCTATTTTCTTTTCTTTCTTTCTTTTTATTTTTTTTTAAATATTGAACGTTCCACAAATTTGCATGTCATCCTTGCACAGGGTCCATGCTACTCTTCTCTGTACCGTTCCAATTTTAGTATATGTGCTGCTGACGCGAGCACCTTAATTACTATTTCCTATGGCCTGAATGTTATCCTGTTCCAGGGGAGGGATTTTATCCTGTGCTTAGGTCTCTTGGATATGTATAGTGCTAAGCATCTTAGAGGAGTTTAACCAACATTTGGTAAAAAAAAAAATATAACAATTGTTTCTCAGAGTGTTCTGAATATACCAAGAAAACAATATAAAATGCACAGTCTAACTCCTCTTCTGTTTAGAGCACTATTGTGGAAACTAGAAAATATTTGCCCTAGTTTTGAAGTAAAAATTAAATTTATAATTCTAACTTTATGAATTTCTATTTTTTCTTAAGTTTTATGCTGAGTTAAAAGGGTTACCATGTCTTGTTTAATAAGATCCTAATTTCTGATTGCTTGACACTTGTTTTTATGATTCATTAAAAAACTTATAGCTCTATACTTGAGGAGAATCAAGACGGCAGAATAGAGTAAGGACACATTTAAACAGATGGAAAAAAGATTTAATCAGGATGAAGCAGAGAGGACACATTCTGGGAAATAGGAAAGGACAGAACAACAGCAGAGGGATACCTGGAGACTGACAGACACAGGAAAGCAGTGAAAACAATGGTGTGGTGTTGCAGTGACCAGATACCCCAACAGCATTCAGCTAATGGTGATCTGAACTCCACCAGCAGCCAGGTGGGAAGGGACTGTCACTGGGAGCTTGGGAGGTAAACCAAACAAAGAACTGTCCATCCTGTTGGTCCGTTTGATTTGACCAGGAGCAGAGACAGAGCAGCAGATCCCAGACAAACAGTGCGAGAACAGGGTAGATTTCACAGTCCAGTCAACCCCCTAGAGCTAAATTGGGCACCATTTTGTGTAAGGAGGCAAAGGCAAGGGAAAGGACTGAGCATGCGCAGAGCTGGGAGTGAACTCCTTTCTGACTCAGTGAATTGCAGCAACGTGGCATTCTATAGGTTCCACCCAAGACAGGTCTGGGAAGCTCTCAGAACTGACAGCCAGCAGATGAAGAACTCTAGTAGTGGTACATCAGGCACCATTTTGTACACTGTGGCAAAAGCTTTAGGACTGCAGGGGACAAAAGTGAATTGCACATGTGCTAAGCTCACAAGAACTCCCTGAGTTCCATTGGTTGCACTGATCCGGCAGGAAAATAATGCCAACTGTGGCATCATATAGGTCAAAATAGGTCCGTGTGGCACCCAGACCTAACGTCCAACAGGTTCTGGCAAGATCAGCACCTTCAACAACCTAGTTATATAGGACACCTGGTGTCTCTAATCCTGGGACCTGCTCTAAGCGGAAGTGGGAGAAAGCTTGCAGAAACAACGGTGCAGCCTCGGCATGGAGGTGGAGACTGGTGAGCCAAGAGTTGGGGCTACAGAGTTCTTGGTGGAAATCTGATATAAGAACCCAGACCTGGAACTCACTGGAGGGAGTGGCAAAAGTGACTGCAAACGAAGAGCCATGTACCAACTGCAACAAGTAACATCGCATTGTAGACCTGTGGGTGACACAGCTTAGAAACCTGCCCCAAGGAGCAGACTGCTACCCAGAAGTACAATGACCAAGAGCAAAAGAAGAGACAAAGGCACAATGCATATTACTGAAAACTCGCCTGCAAAGGAGCAAAACCCTATGCCAATCACAGAGTTAACTGAGGCAGACATCAAGAAAATGGGAAACAAGAATTCATAAAACTTATTTTAAAGCTTCTGATCAAAAAGGAGAAGCACATAAAAGAGTTCAAAGAATTGAAGGAAGCAATAAAGCAAATCAAGGCTGATATATCAGAAATTAAAAACAGTAGAGCAAATTAAAAGTGGAAAGTCTCCAAAATAGAATGAAGCAAGCAGAAGAAAGAATCTCAGATTTGGAAGATATTTCATGTTACCAGGGGGAAGTAAACAAAAAGCTGGAAGCAGTGCTGGATTAGGCCAAAAAAGTATTCAAGAATTGAAAGACACTATTAAGAGGCCAAATAAAACAGTTAAGGCAGTTCTAGAGGGTGCAGAAAGAGAAGCTGAGTTTGCAAATGTATTTAATGAAATAATAAAGGAAATTTTCCCTAATCTAGAGAAAGAATTAGGAAAGAACATCCAAGAGGGGCACAGAACTCCCAACAGGACTGATCAAAAGAGGTCTTCACCAAGACACATGATCATCAAGCTCTCTTCAATTGAACATAAGGAAAACACATTGAAATGTGCACAAGAAAAAAAATCAATTGACATATAAAGGAATGCCAATTAAACTCACAGGAGATCTCTCACAGGAAACTCCACAGGCAAGAAGAGAATGGAGTGACATATTCCAGATTCTAAAAGAGAAAACTTGTCGGCCTAAGATAACAAATCCAGCAAAGCTTTCTTTTGTCTTTGAAAAGGAAATCAAAATCTTCCACAGTCAAGAAAAGTTAAAAGAATTTGCCTCTTCCATACCTACTCTACAAATGATACTTCAGGATGTTCTCTTGGCAGAGAAGAGGAATAGCACCCAACAAAACCAAAGGCAAATACAAAGAACATCCCAGTAAAATGACAACAGAAGACTAAATCCAATAAACAACCCATTCCTAAAAGGACAGGACCAAAGTACCATCCATACATATTAACCCTGAATGTAAATGGCTTAAGCTCAATCAGACGTCGTAGATTAGTAGACTGGATTAAACAACAAAACCCATCTATTTATTGTCTAGAAGAGACACATTTCACCAACAAAAATCAGCAGAAACTATATCATGTGGGTTTTGATGTTTTCTGTTAGTTTCACCTCTTTAAAACACTTTCTTCTGATTAAATCATTCAATGACTCATAGATCATACAGTAGCATCATTTTCTGCAAGAAGATTCTTGATTTTCATTTCTTCAGCTACATGTTAGTCATTTAGTAGCATGTTATTTAACTTCTTGGTGTTGTTAATTTCTTTTTTCTCCCTGATGTTTATTTTGTTTTGTGGCTTTTCATTTAAGGGGATGTATAGTAGTAACATACATGTATATCTAGTAACATGTTATTTAACTTCATGGCATTGTAAATGTCTATTTTTCTTTCTATTGTTGATTTTGTAGTACGACTTTCATTTAAGGGGATGTACAGTAGCTGTGAAATGGATATTAACATATCCAGATGTGAGGCTACAATGCGTGTCTACTTCCAGACAAAGATGAACTTACAATGAGACTGTGTACTATATCTTGACAATAGGATGCTGGACTCTCTGCCATTGTCCATACCCGCAATGATGGACATATGACTGTGTACGAAGAACTATACTTTAGTAATGATATTGAGTAAATAGGTGGGGGGTGGATTTGGGAATGGGATAAGAGAAATGCCAGGAGCCTATGGAACTGTATCGTAAAATGATAATAATGATAATAAAATGTAAAAACAAATTTATAGTACTATACTTGCACTGAAGTTTCCAGTCAAAATTCTTTTTTCTCTAATTTAGTCTTTAAAAATGTGATCACAGAGCTTTACTTACAAAATCAAAGTCCTTTTTGAATTTTTTCTACATTTATGTTTATTGGAAAGGTAGATTTATAGAGACAGAGAGAGGAGAGGGAAAGAGAAAGAGAGAGAAACCTTCCATCTGCTGATTCACTCCCTAAATGACCACAATGGCTGGAGCTGAGCTGCTTTGAAGACAGGAGCCAGGAACCCCCTTCAGATTTCCCATGTAAATGCAGAATTTCAAGGTTTTGTGGCGTCCTCCACTGCTATCAGACCATGAACAGGAGCTAGATGCAAAGTGGAGCATCTGGGACCCAACTGGTGTGCATTTGGGACACAAATGCTTGCAGATGGGAGGATTAGCCAAATGAGCCATCATGCCAGACCTGCATTTGGAAATTCTTTAGTCTATCAGTGCTTATAGATGTTTTTGAAAATTTTTCTTTTTCTTTTCACTTTCCTTTAAAACTCATTTCATTTGTTCATGCTGGGGTAGAGAGACAGGAAGCAAGAGAAAGCCAGAGAGACTTCTGATCTGGCGGTTCAATAGTCAAGGATGTGCTAAACCAAAGCCAGGAAGAAGGAACTCAATCCAGATCTCTTACATGGGTGGGAGGAAAGAAATTAATTACATGAGCTCTCACTGCTGCCTTCTAGGGTCTATATTACCAAGAAATGCTGTATTAACAGCAAACTGGCGTCAGGAATGAGAACTGGCCTGAAACGTAGGTACGCTGCTGTGGTATATGGGTATCTTAATCCTAAAATGCATCCCATCTTCTCACTTTGTACTTTGTGTGACTGTCATGTGATGCTCTGTACTTGTGTTTTCTTTAAAAATATAGTTTGGGGCCCGGCGCGGTGGCGCAAGTGGTTAAAGGTCCTCGCCTTGCACGCCCGGGATCCCATATGGGCGCCGGTTCTAATCCCGGCAGCCCCGCTTCCCTTCCAGCTCCCTGCCTGTGGCCTGGGAAAGCAGTCGAGGACAGCCCAAAGCTTTGGGACCCTGCACCCGCGTGGGAGACCCGGAAGAGGCTCCTGGCTTCGGATCGGCATAGTATCGGCCCGTTGCGCTCACTTGGGGAGTGAATCATCGGACGGAAGACCTTCCTCTCTGTCTCTCCTCTCTGTATATCTGCCTTTCCAATGAAAAAATAATAAAAATAAATCTTTAAAAAAAATATAGTTTGGATGCTTTTAGCAACAATATAGCTAACTGAGTTGACTTGGGAAATACCCATTTCACTTGGAATATTTGCACCATTTTTATCACTACCATGTTCAAAATGAGAGAAATAATGAGGCAACCAATAAGATTAAGAGGCACCTGAGGATGTGAGCTTACAAGGACTGAGCACCTGGATCATGGACATTTATTGCAGTGTTAGATCTTAAACACACTCTGTAAAACTGCTAGACACTGAACTGTATAAGGCATTAGCCTGCTCAGACTGTGGGTAAAACTGAGCTCGCTTTGCCGTATTGAGACACTGTACCATTAGGAAGTAGATGACAGTTCAGTTGTGACTTAATCCAAAAATGAATGTGAAGT